GGGACGATTCCGGATACCCTGGAATTTCAGAGTATCCGGATCCGGATCCGGAATCGTCGGATCCGTAAAAAAACTATCCGGATCCGGAATCGTGACCTCCGGATATCCGAACTCTAGGAATCGTTCCAAAAATCAGGATATCCGCGGATATCCGGATCCGAAATTATTATTAAAAATAATTAAAATAATTAATAAATAAATAAAAATATATTTTTAAAAATTATTAGTTAATATTTTAAATGGTATTTTTTCATTATAAATATAATTTATTATAAAAAGAACTAAAATCAATTTTTGTATATATTTATTTATATAAAATTAGTTTAATAGATATATAATATATATAGTTTTAATATATTTAATGCGTTCGGATCCGGATCCAGATATCCGGACCTTAAAATTTTGTTATCCGGATCCGGATCCTCTTTTCACGGATCCTAAATTTTACTATCCTTATCCGGATCCGGCCTCCCCGGATATCCTAATTTTCGGAGCGATTCCGAACGGATAACGGATCGGATCTCGGATCCCGGATAATAATTCCACCCCTAGCTCATGGTAAATTTGAGCATTTATCAGCTTTGGACAAACTTAAACCTTGTAAGATTATTGCAAATAAATAAAAATATGTTTATGAAATTATGGTTGTTGATCTTAGTTAGTCTTGTCCAGACTAACACAACTCGAGATCAAGGAACAGGTTGCAAAGCCTTAGGCGGTGGTTGAGAAGTAAAAGTACCTTAGGTGGATTGGTTCTGGAAACTAGATTTGTTCTAGTGACCTTTGTCGATCTATCTACGGATGTCTATTGTGGCATCTTAGTCAGCGATGATCTGGGCTTTACAGACATTGTATTCTACCAAGACTTTCACATCATTTTTTTTATAGTGGCAAATAGTCCAAATTAATGGTGTACCATACGTTGAGAAACAACTCGAACATTTCTAAGAAACGTTTTTATTTAGCAACTCGATTACTCTTAATTAATAAAAATAGTGAGAAGGGAACCTTCATCATCTGAGAAAGTGAAACAAAGTAAATAACAAAACAATTGATAACCAACATGTCCCTGCTACATAACGAAAATTATCGCCAGAGTAGTGCAAGAAAATAGTTTAGGATTACGTAGTTAAGAGTTAATTTAGTTTCTGTTTAGCTTATTGAAAGAGATATTAGTCAG